AGCAACAGACATGATCAAGCAGAAGAATTAATGCACTTGAAGACAAGACATTTGAAATTTTACAGTCTGAGAACAAAAAGAAAAAAGAATGGAAAATGACTACAAATTATGTGAAATAATCAAGAAGTTTACCTTCGTATAATAAGAGTGCCAGAATCTTTCTCTTGAGAACAAAAGACCCAAAAAGTATATTTAAGGAAACAATGGCTGAGAATATCTCAAATCTCAAATAACAACTAGATATAGGAAGCTCAGCAATCTCCAAATTCAACCCAAAGAGGAGTTTGCCAAGATATATCATGATTAAACTATTAAAAAAATATAATTCTTAGAGCAGCAGGAGAAAAAAAACACATTCAAGGGGGGTAGGGAAAAAAAAAACACATTCAAGGGAGTCATAATACAGCTATCAGCAGTTCTCTTAGAAAAATTCTTACAAACTAGGAAACAATAAAACAATATATTCAAAGTGCTGAAAAAAAAAAAACAGCTAACCAAGAGTATGTTACCAAGCTAAGCTGCCCTTCAGAAATTAGAGAGAAATAATAACAATGAAACAAATGAAAACTGTAGTTCATCATCACTGTGTACATTAGCCCTTTTCCCATTGCTGAGACACCTTATTTAGCACCCACAACTTAAAGGCAGACCAGTCAGTTGGCTTTAAAGAAAAAACAATATGATGGAGAAGCACAGCTGAGGAATAGCTAGCTGCTCATGTCATGGCAACCAGGAAGCAGAGAAAGAAAAACAAGAAAGCAGGAAGGAACATAAACTCTTCCATGTCACACCCCCAGTGACTCACCTCTTCTAACCAGACCATACCTCCTAAAAATAAGTCAGCTGTAGTGTTCTATGATCCAGTCCTTTTCTAAAAGCCCTGCCTATGAATGCATGAGGCTCCTGGTGGTCATCTAGATATAAACCATAACACAAACTTACCTAATAGGAACTGCTAAAGCAAGTTCCCTAAACTGAAAGAGAAGGCTCCTGGTATTATAAAACATATGAAAGCAAGACTAAACAGTATAAGTAATACTTAGTCATATTCAGAAGATTCTAAAATACAAGGAAGGTGTGCAATTTTATCTCGGCTGCAAGGACTAAAGTATGAAGACACACGGGTTGAAAGACAAAACTAATAAAACCAACTGCCACAAAAATAAGTTATATAAATTATTTAAATTTTGACAAATCATAAAAAGTGGAAATGAGGGAATGAAAGTATAATTTTTATATATGATTCAGGTTAGGTTGTTTTCAATTTGAAATAGCCTGCTATCAGTACGAAGTGTTTTATGTAAGCTTAGTGATAAATGCAAAGCTGATACCAACAGTAGCTGCAAAGAAAATAAAAGGAACGGATTCAAACATACTACCATAGAAAATTCACTAAGCCACAACCAAAGCAATGACAGGAAAGAAACAAAACAGCCAGGAAACAAATGACAAAATGGCAGGAGCAACTCCTTGTATATTAATTACCTTGAGTATAAATGAGTTATAAAACTAAACTCAATAGTGCATTAAAAGCTCATTTACCACACTCAAGTGAGTTTTATCTATGGAATTCAAGGATAGCTCCACAAAGCAAAACAATAAATGTGACATACCACATTAACATCAGGAAGGATAAAAGCCATATGACCATCTCAATGGACCCAGAAAAGGCATCTGACAAAATTCAATACTCTTTCATGATAAAAATAATCCCAACAGATTAGGTGCAAAAGAATAGACCTCACAATAAAGGCCACATGGCACAAACTTATAACTAATATTATATTCAATCATGAAAATTGAAAGCTTTTCCTTCAAGGTCAGAAGTGATGACAGTGAGTACACTTGTCACCACTTCTAATCACCATGAAACTCCTAACTACAGCAATTAAAAATAAATAAAAGGGATCTGGCTATGAAAAAAGAGCAGTAAAATTGTTTACTAACAACATGATCTTATATGTAAAAAACACTAAATTTTAAGACTCCCATCAAAAAACTGTTAGAACTAACAAAAAATTCAGTAAGCTTACAGTATAAAGTTAACACTAAAACCAGTAACATTTCTACATATATAATGAACATATCCAAAAAGAAAATTAAGAAAAGTCTCATTTACGATAGCACAAAAAATAAAATAGGAGTAAATTTAACTAATAAAATGATAGAACTGTGCATCAAAAACTCAAAAACACTGAGGAAAGAAATTGAAGAGGCCGGGTACGAGGCATATGCCTATAATCCCAGCACTCAGGGTGCTGAGTTAGGAGGATCACTGCAAGTTCAAGGCCAGCCTAGGCGATATAGTGACCTAAAGGTCATCCTGAACTAAACAGCGAGACCCTATCTCAAAAATGAAAAAAAAAAAAAAAAAAAGGAAGGAAGGAAGAACAAACCATTAAACAAAAAGGTAATTCCATATTCACGATTAGAGAATACTGTTAAATGGCCATATAAACCCAAGTGATCTACAGATTCAACGCCAGCTCTAAGGAAATCTGTCATTTTTCACAATCCTTAAATTCCTTTAGCACTGTAAAAGCCTCTGAAAAGCCAAAACATTCTTGAACAATGCTGCAAACACCACATTTCCTAATTTCAAAATATTTTTTAAAACACTAGTAAGGACCAGGAGTTTAAGCTCAGTTGTACATCTCCTGCTTTGCAAGCATGAAGTCCTGAGTTCAACTCCTGGTACCAAACAAAAGCCACTGATAATTAAAACAGTGTTATACTAGCATAAAAATAGGCATATCGATTAATAGAACAGGCTAGAAAACCCAGATACAAACCCATGCACTTCTGATAAACTGATTTTTGACAAAAGTTCCAAAAACATACAACAGGAAAAAAATCAAACCCCTCAATAAATGGCACCAGGAAAAGTAGATAGCTACCAGCAGAAAATGAAATTTGATCCTTATACCACATACAAAAAATAACTTAAGATGGATTAAATATTTAAATATAATACCTGGAACTATAAAACTACCAAAATAAAACAAAACAGAAAAATTCCATGACATTGACCTGGAAAATGATATTTTGGTGCCTTTTGTACCTCAAAAGCACAGGCAATAAAAGAAATAGACAAATGGGGTTATATCAAACTAAAAAGTTCTATTCAGCAAAGTAAAGAACAAAACAGAGATGCAACACACAGAATGGGAAAAAATATTGGAAAACCACACATCTGATAAGGGATTAATGTCCAAAATATAGATGAAAACCAAACAACCAAAAACTAATTTTTTTGAAATGGGCAAATATTTCTCAAATAAAGACATACATATGGTCAAGAGGCTCATGAAAAAATGCTCAGCATCATTAATAATTAGAAAAATCCAACTTAAAATTACAATGGGATGTCACTTCATATTGATTAGAATGGCTATTAGTAAAAAGATGAATAGAAAGTGTCACTGAGTATACGAAATAAAGAGAACCCCAGCACACTGTTGGCAGGAATGTAAATTATACATCCATATGGAAAACTGTTGGAGGTTCCCCAAAATACTAAGAACAGGACCACCATATGATCCACCAACCTCACTTCTGGTCATTTTTCAAGGAAACTGAAATCACTGAGTCGAAAAGATATCTGCACACCCACATTTACAGTCATCTGTTCCTTTAATTACATGATACAAAGGAAGAGAAGGTGGATGTGCACATGAAAATATGAAGGCAGAATGTGTAAAATAATACATTAGGGAACCAATGTGCTTAAACACTGAGAGGAGAAATAAAAGCCTTAGCAGAGTGGGCCAGAAAGGTCACCTTCAGTAAGAGTGGGATTGAAATTCAGTAACATTAAAGGGACACCTAAACATTCCTGGGAAGAGGGGCCTGAGCACCAGAAGCATGGGAAAGCTGTGGGAATCCAAGAACAAAATTAGTAATTACGTGAGTAACATTTAGGTGACTAATCAGAGAATAATTAAGAAGAGAACTTGTGAATAAAGTCCAAGTCCTTCAAGGGCAGGTAAAATGAAATTTCATGCAATAGGTGATGAAGAATAACAGAAGTTTTGGAGATGGAAAGTGTAGCTGTGAAAGCTGTGTCTTGATGAAATCAGTTCAGCAGTAGATGGAGGGGAAAGATAAGAAGCAGGGAGGCTCCCAGACAGTCATCACGTTGGTCCAGAGGTAGCAGAGGAGGAAAGAAGGCCTGGGGATGAATGGCGCTGCAGGAATACACCAAACAAGACTCGAAGATTAGAAGTGGAAAGCAAGGAGAGGGATAGTTCACCACGACTCAACTGTTGAGTCTATGGATTGAGGAAACAAAAACCAAAAGGAAAGTCTAAAATATGGGACTGAGGAGTCAGTTCAGAATTAAGAGGCTACAGACTTCTAAGGAAACAGATGAAAAAATACATCTGTAGACTTAAAAGCCAATACATTCTAAAGTAATCTACATTAGAAGTAAAAGTTGAAGTTTTTTAAATACTCATTAATTTTGAAAGCCTTCTAACACAGATAATTATATACTTTGTTATGGCAAAAACTTCCCATCTTATTTAAACCCCATGCAACTGTACCACTGTAAGAAGCTACACTGGATCATGAGAAAATACCTGAGGGTACAGAAGTGGGCTGGACACGAAGTTTTGTATACAGAAAATAATAAAACCACAACAAAGATGGCAATTTGCAAATTCATTCTTAGAGACAAATTTTCACTACTGAAGTTGGAAATTCAAAGTATGAAGCAAATCTATTTCAATTATTTGTTCCCATTCAAACTACTTTTTCTGAAATCAATATTGTTTTCCAGATGACAGTATAATCTTCAAGAATAATGTACTTCATAAGAGTACTAATCTCAAACTTGCTCTCATAAAAACATTGATAAATATGTTCTTATGTTTGCACACTTACTGTTATCATCTGTGATTTACAATATATCTTTATCCCCTGTTCTACTTCAAATCATATTTTTATGTTGAGCTGCCACCATGAATTATTCTCCAAAATACATGCTCTCCAAGCCTCACCTGGTGCTGGTTCCTTGGGAGGACTGAGTTTCAGATACTGGTCTTCCAATGAAAGGCTCACATTGATACCATACAGTGGATCATCCAAGAAAGAAGGCTTCTGGAGTCTCCCGATGCCCACGGTCTTGGACATAAAATAGTCTTCTGTGTTACTAATAACCTCCTCTTTGGAAAACTGAAGGCACTTCATTTCCTCTGCTTCCATAATAAGAGCTTCCGACATACAATGCCCAGCCAAGGCTTTAGTGAGATAATAACCCATAGAAGCTTCACAGTCTGCGTTCTGCTCCATGCTTCCATCTTCCACCCCTGTGTTCTGGATTTTTACTTCTGACTCATTTAGTAACTCTGACAGGATAGATCTGGAAATTTGGGGCAAGTCGGGTATCTTATCCTCAATGCCTTCATTTTCTTTTCCAGAAATCAATCTATTGATGGATTTCTGTTTGAATGTGTATTTGTCCAGAAGACACTTTAAGTGTTCATCAGAGAGAAATGATGTAGAATCTAGCTGAGAAAAAAAAAAAAGAAACAAGTCTTCATAATCAATGGATTAAGTAAATGTGTTTAATTTTGCCAAGCTTCCAGTAGTCCAAAATAAATGCCAGTGCCAGGAATGGGAATGCCCTCTATGTAACAGACATAAATAGGAAAATAATTCATTTGAAAGTATACAAAAGCGCAGGGGGAATGGATAGCAGCCCTAAAGAACAAGCTTCAAATCAATCACTGGCGCTAGCTACAGTCTGAGGTTGGGCTAGGAATCCTATAAAATAAATCACTGTACCAAATTAACCACTAACACCTAAGTGGACAGATTAGAAAAAGCACTTTCAATGGTGAAAGTCCTGCTTCATCAAGCAGGAAAGTAGAGGCAATTATCTCTGTTAAACAGTTAGGAATCCTGCCATAATCTCTAGTAGATATTTCTCTGTCTCCACCCTTTCCTCAAAGTGATCAGCCAGCCCTCTAGTCGGGTGGGGATCTCAGACAATCAGGGTAGACCACACCTGCCCAAAGCATGCCTGTGTCCATCCACAGCTTGCAGCAGACAGCACTGCTGAAGACAGGACAGGAAGGGGAAGGTGCAGCACATCCTGACATGTGCAGTGGCTTCCAAGCAACAGGTCTAGGCAGGGGCCGGGGCATTCCAAGAGCAGCGCATTGTGAAGGAAGGGCTGGATCAGACACACAGTATTCAATAATTATTGGGCCTGTGTATTTCAGCCAAGGCCTTCAGGGTTTAAAAACATATTTTTCTTTGGCAATTGTTCTCAGGAAATAAGTAAAAATAAATCAAGTGAAAATAAAGGTCCATACTCTATAAGAATTCAACCGAACAAGTCACCTGAGTTTCAACAGAAAAGAATAGTGTTAAATATATGGAAATATATTAGAAAAAATATGTCCCCTTCTCTAATGAATCAGCAACTTCCTGGATTTACATGGTGAATTATCTAGGAAACACTAATCCTCCTTTAAAGAAGAGTGAATTGTCTGAGAATAAGATGTCCCCCATAAGAAAGCTTAGTTATTAATTTCAGTTCTTAATTTCCATTTTAGCAAAGTAAAATAATACTATTGGCCTGCTTTGAAAGTACATGGGAAGAAATGACTAAATGCTCTGTATATTAAAAGCATAGCGGGAAAAGCCATTGATAGAAATAGTAGGTAACACATTGTTAAGGAATGTTTTAGTGTACAAATAATAAAAAGTATATAAAATAAGTTTAGCATGCTTTAAAAATAATGTGTTTTGAAATTACATTTAACTTCTCTGTGTTAAAACCCACAGGAGCTAGTACCACTGTGAGTTGGAGAATAACAAGAAATTGGAAATTTATTCTTACCAACTTGGAATTCACCATTTAAGTAATTCACTCAAAGTTAATAAACATGTTGAGAAATAGGAGTTGAATTATACATCAAAAAAATCCTACTTTTAATCACTACACACTAAACACTGCTGAGGGTGTATCCAGATGTGGTACTTTATCCATCCTTATGTAAATCTGCATAGTCAACTAGAAAATGAAGGCAGGCCAACGTACTTAAAAAGTACTTTTGAAATTTATTTATATAAAACTGCTAGTGAATATTCAAAATATATAAGGAAAGATTAAATTTTAGACCTTTTATTACAGTAAAAAAACACATGGCCACTAATCCCTGACATCCTCCCCGACACACAAAATACTCTCCCTGGCTTTGAACATACTCATCTGATCATACTTGCCACTTCCTGAAGCAGTTCTGGAAGTTCTCATTCATGAGTGTCTGTACAAGATGTGATTAAAAAAATACAGTGAATGCTGCTGCAAAGTGCCATCCAACAGAAAAGCAGGCACATAAAAACATCAGTGTGTCTCCATCTACTTCATTCAGTAGCAGCATGCAACTTTTGACTCAGTCCCAAAGTCAAAATGAACATGGAAGGTAAACGTTTGGAATTAACTCAGGACAAGAAGTCAACCATAACAGTGCAACCACAGACATTCAGAAAAAGAGGACTTCCAGAACCACTTCAGAAAATGCCAAGAACAATGGGATAAATGTGTTCTAAGTGAGGGGAGGAGTATGAGGGGGATTAATGGCAATGTGTCTCCTATTGTAATAAATTTTAATTTAAACACACTATTTTCAATCATACCTTGTATAATAACTAGAAAATTCCCTAGGATTTAGAAAGAACCCATTGGAAGTCATCCTCACCAAACATCTTTACTAAAAGCTTATCATGATATTTCAGACACTAGGAAAAAAATCAGCCCATATGGGAGCAGGAAAATAAAGGGTTATAGGGAGAAAGGCTTCTAGGAGAACAAAAGAGGAGGAAAGACTTGGTAGATGTGTATGATGACTTCCAATAATAACTACAGGATAAATACTTTGTAGTTCTGATGATGCATTTAGCTAGATACACAGAAAGCAAAGCAAAGTAAAAGACGAAGCAATTATAAACTCTGGGAAAAACAAAAAGTTACATAAAAGGGAAAGAAAATCAGTGCATTCATTAAGACACATACAAAAAAAAGCAAAAGACAAATAAAATGACAGTTAACTCACGACAAACTAAAAAAGGATGACAAAGAAAACAACTTGCTTTGGCTATAGTTATATAATCATCACAATACAAATACTAAAGCTTGAGGTAACAAAACATTGTGATTTAACTCTTTTGGGAACTGAGAAGAGAGAAAAGGGGCATTCAGAGTAACAAAGTTAAATCCTTGGCTATTAATTCAGGAACCCAATATTTAATATCTAAAACTAGTCAATTAAGAAAGTCAGTCATTAAAAAATAATATAAAGGTAAACATTAATGAAGGAATTAAAAGTGCTATGTTTGAAGAATATAGAAGGGCAAATCCAGAGGAAAATCTGAGTCAACGAGCTACTGTTTTGTTTAAAACATTTTAGCACAACTTTTTATATTATTACTGTAATATAATCTAAATTCACTTGAAATAAACTTTAAATATATTCAAAAACTAATAAAAATTAATTTTAAGATACAAATTTTAAATAGTTAAATGAAATTCCCAAGAAATATCTTTGGACATCAGAAGCAAAACCAGGCTTTATAGGCCCAGAAACATATACAACTTTGGACAAGAGTACTTCTTTAAAATAAAAGAGTACAAAATTAAAAATATAAAGTCAGATAAACATTCACAACAAATTACTGGAGTTTTGGAGAGTTAAGTCTATCTCATATATTATGTGTTTTTGACCAAAACTGCTTAGTCCCTCTCCCCATCCAAACTTATCTCATGATGGACCCTGTCTGCAACCATACTAATTTCATAGAAAATCTGGTCCTAGGGGGTCTGAGACAAAACATAACACATTTCAGCCTGTGTGTATACAGAAACAAGTGAACTACAATCCCCTGACCCCCATGGAGGAAACAACTTGGAAAGAAAGAAAACACACCTGGGCTAAGCTCGGTTACCTGAACAGGTCATCTGTGTTTCATCCTCCTCTGTGGAATGAAGGGTGGAAGATAATGAATAAACTAACTTCTCACTCTAAAATGGCTTTTATGAATAATCACTCTAAAAATAAGAGGCTGGAGGTATTTGCTCACTGGTACAGCATGTACTTAGCCTAGGCAGGGTCCTGGGCTCAATCTCCAGCACCACCAAAAAGAAAAAGAAAACAAATGAAAGAATACAATTTTCTATTGACACAAGAGTGTAGCCCAGAGTAGAAATATAAGGAAAACAAGAAAAAGAGAACTTCCATTTCCTTAGCTTCTTCACAGTATCAATGGTGAAGTCAAAATATTGTAAATAAAAATTAATCAAATATATTGTCTTCAATTTTAAAAACTTGAATTGTCATCTAGGTGGCAGTACAAAGCAGATATTACAATACAACCCATTTTTCTCTCTCTTGATTCCCAGCATAGCTTTGCCCAAAATAGGGACTAGTAAATGATTATTATGAGAATCACGTAAGTTCAGGCTGTCTTAAATGTTTCATAAAGCACTATATCAATGTAAGTTATTTACAAGTACTAGATTGAACTGACCTAGGGTTCTGTTAGAAACATCCCCAATCACTGTGGATAATTACAGGCTCTAACCCGTAACCTTCATGCAGACTGCTTTCTAACCCCTGAGCTTCTAGCTCAGGGACTGAGCCACTCACTGTGGGAGCATGGTCAAGTGAACATCTGCTTAAGTATTCACCTCAAAGTATTCACCTTTCATGCCAGCACCAGTTTCCCAATATTTCATAAACAAGTTATTATTCTTACTATTCCTTTCCTTCATAAAATTCATCCCAATCCATTTTTTCTTCTTCCCATCTCCATTTTAGTAACCCTTTCATGAATCTTCTTTCTTGTTTTAGCTAATACACATACAGTCCATAAGTCAAGGAATACACATCTTGCATTTTTTTCTGGGGTCTTGCAAAATCCATCTCTCACAGTGTTTAGTTATTGACCAAAAATGCTTACAAAAGTGTTTGATACTGAAAACTCATTTCCTCTCTCCATCCAAACTTGTCCCAGCGAAAGACCCTGCCTTCAACTACATTGACTTCATAGTAAATCCGATTTCATAGGAGAATATAGTACATTTGTGATGTTAGTTTTCTTGCAGCTTTCTGGTCTTGTTAGCACATTAGCTGATATCTTACAAAGTAATGATATCTAGCATTTCTTAAGAACCTATACTAAGCCAGATATTACTCTATGCATATTACATGTTTTGATTCCTTTACCCTTCACAACAAACCTACAAGGTAGGTACTATTATTATTCCCAATTTATAAATGAAGAAATTGAGGCAGCAAGATTTGAAGAAGCCTTCCAAGGTGACAGAAATACTAAGCAGTGGGCCTGGGATTTCAGTGAAGATGGTCTGGCTCCACAGCCTGTACGTTTACCATTAGGCCATGTTGCCTCTCACTATACACCAGTTCTCTCTCCACCATTCTCCAAGTATTCTTTTCCCAGTTGAAAATGTAAATTAAAATAACACTGAGATTCCATCTTACTCAGAAAGAATGGTCATCATCAAGAAATCAAACAATAACAAATGCTAGTGAGGCTGTGGGGAGAAGTGGAATCCATTTACACTGTTGGTAGGAATGTAAACCAGTACAACCACTATGGAAATCAGCATGGAGAGTCCTCAAAAAACTAAAACTAGAAATTCCATTTAACTCAGTTACCCCTTTATAGAAAGCATGTTACAGTGATACATGCATGCCCCTGTTTATAGAAGCACAATTCATAATAGCTAAATCTTGGAAGCAGCCCATATGTCCTTCAACTGATAAAGAAATGAATAAAGAAAACATGACATTTATACATAATACAGTACTACTTTGCCATAAGTAAGAATAGACCTGATCATCTACAGGACAATGGATGCACTTTAAGACCAAAATGTTAAGTGAAATAATTCAAACACAAGCTTAAATATCATATGGTTTCTCTCATATGAGAAATTCAAATTATAAAGAGAAAAATAAAAGATATATAATAGGAAATAGGGAAATAGATTTTTTGCAAACAGAAGGTGATCAAATGATAGAGGCTGAGGGTGGGGATGAAAAATAACTGAAATGTGTTATGTACATGTGCCAGCTCCCCATTAGGAATGCAATCATTATGTACTAACAAAACACAAAACATATACTAACATAAAACAAATAAAAACAAAACAAAAAATGCAAAACATACTCTGCAGAGTATTTCAGACTTTTTGACCCAGACTAGCTTTATGTTTTAGGCAAATTTGCAGTGTCCTCTCTTTCAGCTCATCAAAACACATGAAACACACACACACACACACACACACACACACACACACACAGGAAAGCCACAGCTCCATCCCCAGGGCGCCCATTTCTTATACTTCTCCACCTAGATAAATGTCAGCGTGGTGCAAGAGCTACAACTCATGAGGAGAACAACTTGTAATTGCTGGAGAGGGAACACAGACTGTTGTTACCTCATTCTCCCGCCAGTTCCCCTGCTATCCCTGCTGTCTGGAATTTCCCCAGCCATAAACATCTCCAGTTATTTGGACTACAGGTTTGTTGACAAGGCAATCAAAATCATATTTCTAGCATGAACAATCAAAAAGCTCACCACTGGGTTGGGGATTTAGCTCAGCGGCATAAGCGCCTGCCTTGCAAGCAGGTGGTCGTGAGTTCGATCCCCAGTACTGATTTAAAAAAAAAAAAAAAAAAAAAAAGCTCACCACTATAAACCAGGAGAGGCAATCTTGGTCTTTGATGTTAAATTTATACTGGGTATTTTTTCCTCTAACAGAGTTTTTACAACACACCCTATAAAGCCAATACCTTTATCACAAAAGAGAAATGGGTGGAAAGCCAGAATATCCTAAATGACTAACTGTGATTGCACAGATGTAAGTAGTTTCAGTCACACTTAGCAAAACAAGCAACTAAAAGCATTCCGGTTCTTGCTTAATATTACCAAGATATGAGTTTACAACTCTCTGCAGCAGCCATTGCTCACCACACCTAGGTTGCAGTTTATTTTAGTCAAAGCTTTTTAGCTAAAAGGAACAAAAATTCTTTTCTCAAAAAAGAAAAATGTGGTGGTGGGGTGAGAGTTGTTATAAGATCTAAGAGGTCATTCCATGGATACTCACAAACAGGAAATAAAGAATCTACAGGACTTTTTGTGGCTGGAACTTGGAAGCCACCAAAAGCTAAAGACATGCTCTGCATTGCTCTCTTTCTGGATCTCTGTGATCCCTTAACCCACTGCATGCCTGACGAAGGTACATCCTTCTCTCTACAAACCAGCTTATCTTTGATTATTGTTTCTGTGCTCTTGCAATCTAAACCTTTCATACATAGCATGAACCTGAAGAGTCCAGCACCCACCAATGACTAACTATGGATACTTGAGCTCAAAAATTCAACAGTATGATGTCATTGGTCAGTGACATTGTTTATGGACCTATTATATCAGGATCAAATGTGTACCACAGATCTAATCATCTACAGTGAGGATCAAACAGTATGAACAAGTCTATGTTTCTGGCAGGGCTGTGGCTAGAGATGGTTCCCTAGAGAATAAGGCAGACACAAGTAAGGCAGATAATACCAAAAGAAAAAAAAAAAAAAAAAAAGAAAAAAACTATTGCTATGAAGTACAGAACCCTCAGAAAGGGGCTGGCACTTAATAAAATTCTAGAATCCACAAAGTATTAGCAATGAAAGTATTGCCAAATTTCACCAATTGAACTAAGTCTGAGTATTCACTGAAGAGTTAAGCTATACAAGTAAAACTACTTGTCAGAAAATATTCACTTGTAGAGAAAGTAAAGGAACGTTGGACTACAGAACAGCAGTACCAGATCCAGAGGTTCCCAACAGGCCCATATAGCCAAAAGGGGCTTATATTGCTTCCCATGACTCTCAGATTAAACAAATCCTGTGGTGCTCATTTTAATGGCTACACTAGTGGCAGCAGGAATCCACAGAAGGAACAGGTTTATTCTCCCTTTTTGCCCAGCTCCTTCCCTCCCTGTGTACCTGCTCTATTCTCCCTTCTTCCTCTCCTGTATGCAAACGTGAGTCTAGCATGTGCACTGCTCTTAGGAGGTCACAGCAGGGACAAGGGGTCCTGGGGGACAAGGAAAATGTACCGTATTTTTAACCAGAGGATGTCTGGCCAGAAGAGAAACTGAACACTAGTCAAGAGGAAAGCAAAGGTCATTTGCTAGAGAAACCATGTACAACACTAGGAGTGAGAGCTGAGGAAGGCTGTAAACAGGAAAGTGAGTCAGCCCGCAGGTCACAACCTGGGAGGATCAGAAGAAGGAGCAGCACTGAGCATGAAGCAGATCAAGGGCAGCGGCTCTGAGCCACTCTGAGGCAAGGAAGGTCATAAATGTTGTGGCGGTGTCGGAAGCCAACTTTTACACACCTGCTGTGCCAAAGGGATTCTGCAGAACCGGTCACCACCCTTCCCAAGCCACCTGTGTTCCGTGGCCGGCTGGGTGGAGAAGCACTTGCCTGACAGGCTTGCGAGGTAAGAGTCTATGCCCCTTGGCATTCTGTGATGGTTCTCTTCCTGTTGCCCAGATGCCAGAGCTCACTCCAGGGCATCAGGAATCCATGTTTCTGTTCTGTCTCCAGGACCAGATGGATGGGCTTCCGGCAGGAACCCCATGTGTCAGGTGGGCATGGATGGGAAGAGGTATAAGCAGGTGGGAATCTCTATTCTAGTTATTCAAACAAGGCCCAGCTTTATTTGATGTCATATTCAGAAGAGCATTAATATGTACAGAGAAGAGCCAGTCCAACTTTTCTACTTTGATATCTAGGAAGCTGATTCACGCAGAGAGGATTCTGAGCTGCCTACTTTGTGATACAATTATCATTTGAGGGTTATCAGCAGTTAGCATTTTTAAACAGTAGAGACTGCAAGTCCACTTAGATCAGATCCCCTTTGCTCTGGGCAAGTCACGATAATGAGGGTTTTGTCACCTGTCTATCACTTCCTTTCGTGATACCAACCTGGGGCTCCAGCTTAAGAGAGTCCATCACTCCCACCTGACACTCCCAGAAGAACATGCTTGGCCCAACGAAGTGCAGAAATTTGCATAAAGAGGCAAGGAAAAGGTTCAGACTGAACAATGATGATGTTCACCGGAACGGTCCTCCTCCCCATACTCACCCTAGTGAGGGATATCCAGTGTGTCACGTTAGAGTAACTAATTTCCACCACTGACCAAAACTGCTGGTTTAGTTTTGATGATCATTTGCATGGGAGAAGCCCTACTGTATTCTCATTCTGATGATGTCTATTTTTACAACGTAGAGAGAAATCGTTGTCAAGGGAGGTCACAATGGGGTCAAAAGTTAAGTGCACCAGTTGCCTACTTGACTAGCAGTTCAAATGCTTTAATCTCAGCTGGACTCCAAATTAGACCTCACCCTTTCCAGGAGGTCAGCTGGCTGATGAGTCAAGTTGAAGAATTTAGTGCAACTAAAACCTGAAGGATTGCTGTGTTCTCACAGGAGCCTCCTCTCTGTAACCTTAAATCCTTTGTTTGATATCCCCTGAACTTTAAAAATGAAGGGAAGTTGAGTTTGAGCTCAGCGTGAGTAACTTACCCACTTTACAAGACTCTTGTCTTAAGGAGAAAAATACACAAAGGGTAGAGACATAGCTCAGAAGTCCTGGGCTCAATCCCCAGTATTGAAGGAAAAAAGGAAAAACAGGAGTTCTTTTAAGGCATATCTCACAAGCATCACGGAAGATAATGGCACTCACTCTCCCCCAGGGCTGGAGGACACTGAGGAGGCCATCTTTTGGTGCCAAAACAAATTAGAGTTGGGGAATAAACTAGAAGGTAGCGCCTTGTCTCACACAACTGTCAATAGATTGGACAAAGTGTTGGATTACGATCATAAATACTTCTGCTTTCCAGAGACATGGGCCCCCGGTGTGTGATCAATGTCAGATTCATCAGCTGCTCCAAAGAAAGCTGCTGTCTTTTCTGACGAGAGGATGCAGGCCATAGACATAGTATGAACTGGATGTGCTCCTTCCAATCAGAATGCTCAGCTGTACTCCACCCACACAAGAGACCCCACATAGAAACACTCAACCCTAAGGGAAAGAAAGGGAAACTGAGTATTTCCTCACCCAGCCAAGAAGTTTCCTCACAGCACAAACAAGTCCAGGAGTCAACCTGAACTGCTGTTTTAATGCTCCATGAAATGCTATTTTAATGCAACATGACTAGATCACATTTATCCATCACCCCATCTACACCTTTGCCTCGTGCCAGGCTGAGAAAATCTAGCAGGGCTTGTGCTGCCACTGCTGTGGGCCCGGGTGTGTCTACTGATGCCACTGCCATGGCCACTTATTCAACTCACAGGGATAGCACACCCTCTTGTCTCCTACACCTCTCTGTTGCCACTGAGGAGTGTACTGTTAATGGGGTGTGAGACAGGTAGCTGGCCGCTTCTTGGCATCTGGTAACCAGTGCAGGAGAATTAATGCCCCTTGGGGCAGACTTGGGCCAAGGGAAGAGGGGAATACATGCCAGTGAATAAACGCCTTTTGCTCCTCGCCCTGTTCTAAAATGCAGTCACTCATACATCTCCCTGAAAACATTGCACGAAATCCATCAGTTGTATCTACCAGCAAGCAGTGCCCAGAGATGGATGATACAATTCTTGGTATTTGGTCTCCTCCTTTCTGTGACCCACTTCACTTGCCCTCATTTCTGTTTCTCTGTTGTTGCTCTCATCAAATAAATGGTAGTTTATAAGCACTGGCCTTAGGCTCCGCTGCCCCAGACTAAGACAGCTTCCAAGTCCTAGCAGGGTTTTCAGGGTGGCAGCATGAGCTGCGTGGAGTGGGCGGGGAAGCATAGGGCTAGTAGTCCTGCCCAGCCTCTGCAGAAGGGTCAGCAAGGCTCTCAGGGTAGTGCTGGCTGCAGGCAGGGTGTTGGCCAACACCATTAAGGCACTGAAGGCAGAGCCATGCTGGAGGATCCTTAAGCTCATATCCTACAGACATTGCTGGAACCAGAGTGGCAGAGCCCTGTCCAAGGAGGCAGGATCAAAGAAGAAAATCCTCTGGAGTCCTAACAGGACATATGCTCGGAGCAGCCAGGAGCAACAGAGCTGGAAGGATACTAGCCACTCGAGCCAAGGGAGAAAGCCAAAGTCAAAGCTTAGGTTGGAGCATCAATATAGATAGAATGACAAATATGGAAATATAGGAGAAGTCACAGTATGTGGTTCAGTTGCCAAGGCATGTCCCTGAGAAAACAGGAGGCCTGCTTTCATTTTGAGTTTTGGGGCAGAGTGTTAGACAAAGTCAGAGGTCTGAAGAGAGCCAAGCAGCGATACTGGCTACTGAAGAATCAAAATGATGTTGGGGAGCCATGCAGACAAACAAAATCCCTCCTTCTCATAGATGCGTCTCCAGCACCTCTCTCCACACTGTTTTCCACTTGGGAAGACATCCCCACTTAAGTGTTCCTTAAGCTTCCATACTATCTTTTTTCTTTCTTTCTCTTTGGTGGAATTGAAAATTGAACCCCAGTACCTCTGCATTGATGCCCCAAGCTACATAACCAGTCCTTTCTATTTTTTACTTTGAAACAATAGCAACCATCAAAGCGATTATCCCTTAACAACAGCATAGCAGGCTGGACTTTTCTAAGTTTAAGACTCAACCTCTTCACTCCTTAGCTATTAGATAGTGGAAAAATTATTTGGCCTCTTAAATCTCAGATTTCTAATCAGTACAACAGAAACACTAGCAACTACTGACTCTTAACAACTAGTTGTGAAAACATACAAGCAAATAATTTGCAAAGAGCATGAGACATGTGTGTAGCTACTAGCCTCAAACCTGGTGCACAGCAAGTAGGATTTCAACAAATGTGGTACATAACACTGGCAGCAGAGGCAGCTAGAGGACCTCTCATAAGAGATGACACTGAAATTTACCCTTTCCAAGTTCAACTGGCCCCCACCTTTGAGGATCTTTCTGGAATACAATGAGTGGAGCTTTATGGATAATCTTAAATCTAATAACTTGCAATGGATAAACTGTCATGTGTACCCTAGTGAATAGGGGGCTAAAGAAGTCATTAGATTAGATGCTGGGAGAGAACTAACAGGAGGAAAAGGAAGCTGTGATCTCTACCTCCACACTTCAGCACAGACATTCTTAAATCCCAAGTACCAGAAAGACGCTTTCACCTAACCTTGGCTTCTCCTTTTTTCTCCTCCCTTCCCTAAATTATTCCAAGACTTCCTGCTGCCCTCCTGAGCCTCCTCTACCTGAGCACACCCTCCTGCGAAAGTGTGCCCAATTACAAGCCTTAAATTTGTTCCCATTGCTCCCACATCCAAAGACATCTACCCTAACACATATTTTCTCACTAATCTCCCAAAGACCAAAGAGTCAGGGCCATGTATGACTCTCTTAAGTGACAGATGTACATTTTACAGGAGCAGCTTTGAATCAGAATAATGTAACCCAAAGAGGTGATTTTAAGACTAAAATCTAGGTCCCATCACTGATGGCAGAAAGGTATTTGAAAGACATCCCTTTTAGCACTGAAAATCAAGCCACACTGGGCAGTTAGTCCTAGTCTGGTTGGATAAAGGATCAATCCTGTCAAATTTCATCAGATCTGACTTTCCTGTTGGGTTACAGATAACTCCACATTTAATTTGTTAATCAAGGAGGGCTTTTTCTGGTCACAAATGAGTGACCTGTAGCATTTCCCAGGCTGAGCAAGTGCTCCTGGAGCTTTGCCCTGTCTAGACATGTATTGAAATATCTAATTACCCTTGTACATTCTGTGTAGCACACAAAGCCCAATGCCATTACATAAACATGAGGCTCCCTATTAATACTGCTGCTCACTGAACTGTCCTTTTACATTTGCCAGTCTCAAAGTGAAACTGTGCTACTGCGGAGAGTAAGAGTAATATACTGAGAAAAACAAGTCTCAAGGTATGCTGTGACCCAAAGTGTGGGAATTAAGGTCTCTAGATGGAAAACGAAAAATGTCATTTAGTGAACTGGATACCAATTCGGAAAGATCTAAATAGCTCTATAATCAGCACATTCCTCATGAAGGATATATTTAAATTTTTCTTTCACTTATAAGCAGAAGACTATAAAGAAGAGAAGAATCTTTCCACTCCCTCCCTATAACAGGACCTGTATTTGGCATGCATCTAGATAAACCCAGGTCAGGCTGGGTTAAGGCCTTGAGGGAACAGGGTCGATAGTAGCCCTTCACCATCTTCCATGCCCCAAGAGTTCTGGCTTAAATTATTCTGTTTAACTCTCCCACCTACCTAAGGGGTGAGGAGTGGATTAAGAAATCACATTCCACATTGAAAAGCTAAGAAAATTAAGTCTCAGAGAAATTAAACTTTGGGGGGGGGGGTTACTGATATTGGGGGTTGAACCAGGGCCTCTGCACTGAGGTATATCCCCAGTCTTTTTAGTTTTTGAGACAGGTCTCACTGAGTTGTGAAGATACCAGGGCTAGGCTTACATGTGCTCCCATTGTCCCAGCCTTCCAGAGTACTGGGATTATAAGCCTGTGCCTCCATATACAGCTGAGAAATTAAATATCTTCATCCAAGGCCCAGAGCTAATAAAAAAAATTGAAACCAGAGCACACAGACAGGGTTTCTTCATCACCATAACTGTACTCTACACATGCTTCCAACAGCTGGTTAGGCTGATTTCCCAGGGGAAGCACTGTGACAGCACTGTGACAGCATCTGTTTTATCTGAGAGTGGCCCAGAGTGAGGCCCCTTTCATCTCAGAACCTGAAGCAACTGTGTGAACAAGAGGCCCTCCCCAGGGGGACAGCCCCTTCTGTAAGCCCCATCACAGCACCTTCTGCATCTGCCTGTCCTGCTGGATGTTTTCAAGGCTGGACCAGATCTCCCTCACCTGGCAAGAATGTGTGGCACAGAAGTCTGGCACAAGATGGACCTGTGGCAAAGGACACTGTCATGCTCCACTGGCTTCTATAGTGTGCCAACCTCTGTAAGGTCAGTGGTCTTAGTTTGTTCTTTACTGATGAATGCTCCCAACATACGGAACACCCTAGCCCCAACCTCTTTTTTCTTCCCTGAGGCCTGCTTTGGCACCCTTGTGGCTTTGGAAAGATATGGTTTAGTCAATTCATGAAACTTTGTTTTTCTTTCTGTGGTACAAGGAATTGAAATGGGGCTTTTGCACTGAACTAGAACCCTAGCCTCCCCCCACCCACCTTTTTTTTTTCCAAAGTGCTGATTTGCCAACACTAGGTTCAAACTTGATATCCTTCTGCCTCAACCTCCGAAGAATACTGGGCTTATAAGGGTGCATCACTGTGAACCTTCGCTTAAGATTTGGGCAAACAAAAATGCTTAATTCCTAAGAATTCCCCAATATGGGGAATGTTAGACTCTAGCAAGGGTAGTAAACAGACAAACTGGTTGAAGGGACAGGTATTCTCTCACCCTCTACAAACAATGACTCACACCTCCTCAGGGTAAAGGTGACACTAACAGAGATATCACCCAAACTTCATGCCAGGGCTTCCGGGTGCAGTGAAGTGGAGCAGCGGGTTAGAGACCACTACATCAGCCTCCCCATCCCGGCTACACTTGGAGGCCTGCTGAGCTCCCGACAGGTGGGCGGGCCTACACTATCCCCGGAGTCCAGACGCGCCTAACCATCGGTTTGCAGAGGAGGAGCTGGGCGGATCTGGAGTGCCTGCAGAAGCCCCTTCCTTTGTCTGGAGGACTGAATATCTCTGCAAGCAGGGAGGGATCGCAGGTTCCTGAGGCACCTCAGCCTGTGGTAAGTGCTCAGCACACTCTGCCCAAATCTCAGACTGTTCCGGACCCCCCAGGCTTCTGGGTGCAGTGAAGTGGAGCAGCGGGTTAGAGACCACTACATCAGCCTCCCCATCCCGGCTACACTTGGAGGCCTGCTGAGCTCCTGATGGGTGGGCGGGCCTACACTATCCCCCCAGCCCAGCCGCGCCTAGCCATCGGTGTGCAGAGGAGGAGCTGGGCGGATCTGGAGTGCCTGCAGAAGCCCCTTCCTTTGTCTGGAGGACTGAATATCTCTGCAAGCAGGGAGGGAACACAGGCTCCTGAGGCACTGCGGCCTATGGTGAGTACCCTAACCCGGCTGCGATTGAAGAGCTGTGGAGCTTCCAAGGGGCAGGTGGGCGCACAGTGTCCCTGAGGCCCAGCTTGTCTGGAACTGCGGAGTTCTGAACAAGCAGAGGAGGGCCATTGGTTCTGCAGGCCCAATGGCTTGGGGTAGCGTGGTGCCAGAGTCTCAGTAGCTGCAAACATAGAAGGGGATTTTCAACAGATCCTGAGGAAGTTTTCAAATAACACTTGAAACACAGAAATATAGGAAAATGACAAAACGAAAGACCAAATTACAACCTCAAACCTCCAGCCCATCTCAGGAAACCCTAGGAGGAATGTATTTAGAAGAAAATATATCCCATCCACCTCATATATCAGACACAATAGCTACTCAAGTTGACAAGCAACTCCAGGAAGCTTTAAAGAAATTCAAACTCGAAATAATTTCCCAGATAAAAGAAGAAATGATAAAAGAAATGAAAGAGATTCTAAATATATCTAAAGAAAACACAGATAAAAAATTGGAGGAACTAAACAAAAAGATAGAATCCCTAGACGAGCAATATAAGAAACAAACAGAATACATAATGCAGATGCACAGAGATATACAGGAAATAAAAAACTCCACTGAAAGTTGTAAAAACTGCCTTAATGAAAGTGAAGATAGAATTTCAGACCTTGAAGACAGGATTGCAGCGAGTGAACAGGAAAGGAAAGATCTTTTAAAAATAACAAGGAATCAGGAACAACAATTCAACAACTGCAAGACGATGCAAAGAAGAATAACATAAGAATGATAGGGATTAATGAAAAAGAAGGAGACAACATAAAGGATATCAAGAGGATATTTAGAGAAGTAATGGCTGAAAATTTCCCAAGCATGAGATCAGAAACTGAAATCAGGATCAGTGAAGCATATAGAACTCCAAATAGTCATAACCAAAATAAAACTACACCCAGGCATATAATAATCACCATCCCAGAAATCCAACACAAGAATAGATTATTAAAAGCTGTCAGAGAGAAAAGACAGATCACTTATAAAGGAAAACCTATCAGAATCACAGCAGACTTCTCAGCACAAACGATAAAGTCAAGAAGAGCATGGAGTGAAGTATTCCAGATTCTAAAGCAAAATGATTTCCAACCTAGACTGATATATCCTGCAAAACTATCATTCAAAATAGATGGTGAAATACGATACTTCCATGACAAAGAACAGCTGAAGAACTTCATGAACACCAAACCAACCCTGCAAAAAATATTGAAAGACAGTTTAGATACACAAAGGAAGAAACCACTAAGCAAAGCAAATAATTAAACAGAACAGAAAGATAAAGATACAACAGCAGAGAGATAACATTCCAACAATTAACCAGCATTTAACAGTAATAACCATTAATGTAAATGGTCTCAATGCACCAATCAAAAGAAACAGACTAGCAGAATGGATCAAGAAACAAAATCCAACTATATGCTGTTTACAGGAAACCCATCTAACCCAGAAGGATACTCACAGACTGAAAGTCAAAGGATGGAAAACAATTCTTCATGCAGCAGGAATCCAAAAAAAGGCAGGAGTAGCCATTCTGTTTGCAGACAACGTGAACTTTAAACCAACAATGACCATAAAGGATAAAGAAGGTCACTACATACTCATAAGGGGAAAACTCCAAGAGGAAGAGATAACTATCTTAAATATGTACGCACCAAACTCCAGAGCACCCAGTTATATAAAACAATTATTAACAGAAATGAAAACTCAAATTATCAGTAACACAATTGTAACAGGAGACCTTAATACGCCATTGACACCAAGGGACAGATCAACCAGACAGAAAATGAGCAAAGAAATAACAGAACTGAATCATACCTGTGAACAAAGAGGTTTGATAGACAGATACAGAATGTTCCACCCAACAACATCAGAATACACATTCTTCTCAGCAGTACATGGATCATTTTCTAAAATAGACCATATATTAGCTCACAGAACATATTTAAACAAGTGCAAAAGAGCTGAAATCATCCCTTGCATGTTATCGGATCATAGCGCTCTGAAATTAGAAATTAATGATAAAAGATACTGCAAAAATCCCACAAACACATGGAAACTGAATAACACACTCTTGAGTAATCAATGGGTCACAGAAGAAATTAAAGAAGAAATTAAACAATACCTAAAAGAAAATGAAAATGCAGATACCACTTACCGGAATCTGTGGGATGCAATGAAAGCCGTCCTGAGAGGAAAATTTATTGCACTGAGTTCCCACATCAGGAAAACAGAACGAATACAAACAAATAACTTGATGCTACACCTCAAACAGCTAGAAAAAGAAGAGCAAGTCAAGCCCAAAGCCAAAAGAAGAGAGGAAATTATAAAAATCAGAGCAGAAATCAATGCAATAGAGACTAAGAAAACAATCCAAAGAATCAACGAATCAAAGAGTTGGTTCTTTGAAAGAATAAATAAAATCGATAAGCCCCTAGCCAACCTTATTTAAAAAAAGGAAGAAAAAGCTCAAATTCATGCAATAAGAAATGAAAAAGGAGAAATCACTACAGACCCAATGGAAATAAAGAAGATCATCAACACCTATTTCGAAAACCTCTACTCTCAAAAGTTTGATAACACAGAAGAAATAGACAGATTCTTAGAAGCATTTGAAGTGCCAAAGCTAGATCAAGAGGATGTAAAACTGTTGAATAACCCAATCTCTGTTACTGAAATTGAAAATGTAATTAAGTCCTTACCCACCAAGAAGAGCCCAGGCCCAGATGGATTCACTGCAGAATTCTACAAGAAATACAAAGAAGACCTAATGCCGACACTCCTCAAACTATTCAATGAAATTGAAAGGGAACTAATCCTTCCTAAGTCATTCCTGGAAGCAAATATTACTCTAGTACCAAAACCTGAGAAAGACCCAACTAAAAAAGAGAACTATAGACCGATCTCCCTAATGAACACAGATGCAAAAATCCTCAATAAAATATTGGCAAATAGGATCCAGCAAATCATCAAGAAGATTATACACCATGACCAAGTGGGATTCATCCCAGGAATGCAAGGATGGTTCAACATACGCAAATCAATAAATGTAATCCACCATATCAATAAAGCCAAAAATAAGAATCACATGATCATTTCTATAGATGCAGAAAAAGCCTTCGATAAGGTCCAACATTTATTCATGATAAAAACTTTACAGAAAATTGGAATAGATGGTCTTTACCTCAATATAATAAAGGCCATTTATGACAAACCAACAGCCAGCATCATACTAAATGGCCAAAAATTGAAAGCCTTTACTTTAAAATCAGGCACAAGACAAGGATGTCCTTTATCACCACTCCTATTTAATATAGTACTGGAAGTACTAGCCAGAGCAATTAGGCAAGAAAGAGAAATAAAAGAGGTAAAGATAGGAAAAGAAGTTAAGTTATCATTGTTTGCAGACGACATGATACTCTACATAGAAGACCCCCTAAACTCCATTGAAATACTCTTAGATACAATAAATAAATTCAGTAATGTGGCTGGATACAAAATCAATACTCAGAAATCAATAGCATTCCTATACACAAACAACAAAATCACAGAGAGGGAAATAAGAGAAACTGGACTATTCACATTAGCAAGCAAAAAAATGAAATATTTAGGAATTACTCTTACGAAAGAAGTGGAAGACTTATACAGTGAAAACTATAATACACTGAAAAAGGAAATTGAAGATAATCTCAGAAAATGGAAAGACATCCCTTGCTCATGGATAGGAAGAACAAACATTGTGAAGATGGCCATTCTCCCAAAACTCTTATACAGATTCAATGCAATCCCAATAGAAATACCTACAACATACCTTATACATCTAGAGAAATCACTCCTAAATTTCATCTGGAACCAGAAGAGACCTAGAATCGCAAAGGCAATTCTAAGCAGCAAAGACAAAGCAGGAGGCATCACAATCCCTGACTTGAAATTATACTACAAAGCAACAGTAGTAAAATCAACATGGTATTGGAATCAAAACAGAGCTGAAGATCAATGGAATAGATTAGAAGATACAACCACAACTACAAACACACTCAACCACCTTATCTTTGATAAAGGAGCCAAGCAGGTTCACTGGAAGAACGACAGTCTCTTTAATAAATGGTGCTGGAAAAACTAAAGCTAGACCCATGTCTATCACCATGTACTAAATTAAAATCTAAATGGGTCAAAGATCTGAATATTAAAACAGAAACACTGAATCTATTGGAAGACAAAGTGGGTAGAAACCTTGGAGACATAGGAGTAGGTAGAGAATTCATGAACAGGACTCAAACCGCACGGGAAATACTTCCCCTATATCAATATGACACTGGGTACGATGGCCACCATTCCCCATTCCTAACAGGTGGAACCTGGCAGGGTAGGAAGAAAGCATGGCAAGTGGGTGAGCAAGTGTGGGAAGCCAAACAGTCTGCGCACCTCTCTGGGGCCTTGCATCTGCACCTGCGCCACAGCAGGCTTTGTTAGTTTGGGCTTGTGTGTGGTTGGTGTTTGTGTGTTACAAAAGTTTTAAAGCATCACTTCTGTGAAAACTTACTGCCAGTTTTTCCAAATATCACAGTAGAAAGGATAGTATAATGAAGTCCATACATCTATTGCTTAATAAAACGCTGCTTTTAAATTTATTTTTAGAGAACTCCTGAGATCCCGCCATGGTGGGACTCAGGCAGCTTATTTACCCGCCCTCTTGGTAAGCGCTTGCGGTGTGGGCTAGGAAGAGAACCACTACCTGTGAGCTTACTGGCATGCAGGCTGAAAATCAAGCACCTTCTCTCCCCCTCCCCCATAGCTACTGGTGATAGATGTCTCAGCATCTTTTGGGAGGATGACCATATGCAGTATAGCAAATATGGGGGATTTCCTTCTATCTTCTGTTTGAAGGCAAAGGTTGTTTTCACTGTTTTGTTTTGTTATGTTTCTTTTGCTCTTTTCAGTATTCTCAATTGGTTTTATAATGTTCTATTTTTGGTTTGATTTTGCTATACCTAATTGACTGGACAACTATTGTGAAGTTAAAAAGATATACCATAGTACCTGTTCCTACTGTTCCAGGATCCTACAGTGAAATCCTGCACCAATTTCACTGCATTGTCTTGATTGGCTTTGTTCTGTCTTGTGCTGTTGCGTTTTTACTACCTTCAAAATAAAATTTTTTTAAAAAAAAGATTTCTTTCTTAGTAAATAAAAACTTCAAATCAACAAAATACCGTCCCTACTTTCCATTTGTACATTTTCTAGTCAGGTCAAAGCAATGCCTTCTCTTTTGATTTCTAATGATAAGCTAGGATGAGTGTTGGCTTCTGTATTGATGAGGGGCTGGGTCATTTTTTTAGGCTGGATGAGGGATTTTACAAAGCCCTAAAAGTAAAATGATGTTTAATAGGATGGTTGTTGGAAACACCACTTAACTGAATATGCTAAAACACCTTGGCTGGAGAAATAACTTC